CATTTAATTTATAGGAGTCAAGAGGTAGGGTTTAGATTTTCTTTGCGAAAGTAGGCAAAGGGGAAAGGGCACTGAACTTCGAGTCAGAGGCCTGCATTCCAGTTTCAGTTCTACTAGATCACTTTCTCATATTAATCAAGTTACTCCCCCCAGTTGGTTCCCAGTGTATAGCAGAAGTTGAACTAGGTTGAGTTCTTAATTTGTGTGCCTTGGGGGTTACAGAGCTTGGAGATTCTGAAGAAGAGACAGCCAAGGGGGTACTGCCAACACACATGTGAAAACACTTTAACTTGAGACCATCTATCTTCTTATATTGGAATTCTATATAAAATTTCATTTGAAAAAAGAGTGCCACATTTACTCCCCAAATAAATAATAAAATATAAATTTGTTCCATTAGATTTATCTTCAGTTCCCCTTCTATTTCTGAAATTTATGATGCCTGTATTCCTCACCCTCTTTACTTGGTAGCATAGTGTGGGGCATCTAGGCCTATGAATCAGACCTACGTTCTAGCTCAGGTTGTGGCACTAATTGAGCAAATAATAGCCTCTTAGTTGGACTACCTGTTTTTTACAGAAACTTCCTGTTTTATAATCTGTGGTTCCAGGCTACCATGGCCCAGTTTCTTTTGTGGTAGAACTGTAAATATAAGTGGAACATATTTCTTAAACAAGGGTAATTGGTAAGCTAAAGTTCAGTGTTGATGATACATGAGTCTCATGGGCACAAACATTATCTATAATCTTCACAGAAAATAAGGGTTGATCCATCTTTTACTTTCAATTTTTAGTTACTCTAACATAAAAGAATATTAGTATCATTAATCTAAAAATAGATCATTTAAAAATATTTTAAGTTCTACTTTTAGAGCTCATAATGTTTTGGGAAAACAGATTTGTCTTTATGGTGATTGTTTGCTTAGGTTTTATATTAAAATTAGTTTACATTTCCATATGCACAAGCTAACCAGGCAGGCAAAAGATGGCTTGGAAATTCATAGAGTAAATGGTTCATATGTGAATCACCGAAGGAGATACGTACTCATTAACATTTCCTTGTTCAAAATATCCTACATTGCAAGAGTTATTGTTGAGGGCACATTGAATTTCATATACTGGCTATGTTTTATGACTACTGACTATATAAATTCTGTTAAAAGGAACTAGACTAAATTTTATTAAATTATACATAAAATAGTTATTAAAGGACAGGTGACAGTATTAAGTTTTTTT